AAAGAACATTTTCCGCATTCTAAACAAAATTTTCTGTAAATTGTGACTTTTTTGTTGCTTTGGGTTTATTTTTTTTCTGTGATTTTCATAATTTTCCTCTCCGTCTTGGCGTGGTTTTTTATTCCACTTTTTGGAGAGGTTTGAACACATTTCAAATTCCAATTATCCGGTTATGAACTGAAGAGACATGATATCTCAAGCTTGGTCGATATCATGTCTAAAAAGAGAGTATAAAACAACAGTTTTTATCGGATGATAATTCTTTTTATGCTTTTTCCCAAATATTTTCCAAGTTTTTAAAGTCAAGCATTACCTTTATAATTTTAACTCAATTTTTTTCTTATAGCATAACCGAGCTTATGGTAAAACAACTGAATTAATTTATTTGAGAAATGTAAACGAAATCCCCTAATGATGGTTCTCAAACCTTAATAAAAATACTCTAATAATTAAAAATAGAATTTTGTCATCCCTTTTTTCTTTGTCAAGTGATTTTTCAGCCTTCTGTATCACGGATCAAAGAAAAAAAATTTATAACTTGTCTTAAAATGCATTTTAAAATGAAAAGAAATATTTTTTATTTGTTTTTAAGCCAAAAATAAAGTAGTTTTAGTAAAATTAATAGTTATGTTTGTTTTTGCGATCTCCAAAACCTTTTTTTTACAGATGGGGATTTTTTGCCGCGGTCATTTTTAACGTTAAAACGACAGTTAACAACAAAACTATAAAATATTAAAATGTATAGTATCCAAATAAATAGTTTAATAATATAATATTTATATTATATAAAATAAAACTATTAATTATAATTGATAATATTATAAAATATTAGAAATTGTTTAATAACGATGAAATAATAATTTAACTTATTAAAATATAATTTGTTATTAACTATACTTTTCTTAAAATATAATTTAATAAAATCAACCAGAACAAAGCTACTGTTCGATTAGTTGTTAAAATTGATTTATTGTTGCTTTTCATCACTTTAAAACATCAAATAGTGGTTAAATATACCGAATTAATATAGAATGTCATAAAATGGACAATAACAAAACATTGAATCATGATACCCGGTGTTGTTGATAAATTTAGTTTGTTTTATAAAAGTGCAATACTTTGATAGAACATAAGAGTTATTATTCGCAGAAAAACATATGAAACGATTCTGTTCATCATTGATGCATAAACAGAGTGTTTGAAACAAAACAATTTCAATTATCTTCATTCTATTGTTTAATCTTTTTGTTTGTTTCATCAAAGCTATTATTGAATCATATATTACTATATTTATGATTATTTTGTTTAATTGAAAACTGTCATTCAGTTTATTTGTTGTTGTGTTTTAATATAGATCATAATTAAATTATTTTAAATTAACAATTATATAATAATTATTGATTTTATATATAAAATGTTAAAGAATATTATATAAAAGTACTATAAAAACAAGTCAGTGAAAAAATCTGGCTTGTTTTAAATTATAATATTTATTGTTATATGTCAAAAACATTTAAATATTTCAGAAACAAAATGAAAAAAAAAATAAAAATGTTTTTAAACTGTTGTTCGAAATTACTACAATTCACCTCGATAAAACGGATGTTTTGAATACGAAAACGTAGTTTCGTAGTTACAGAAAAGTTCTTTAAATGTTTTGCAAAAGCGGAGCTTCGAGACAGTGAATTCTTCGCAACGACATACAGTTGGTAAGATGTGACATATGTGGGGTTTGTTGAGCCACAACATGATTCCGTTATGTTGTTTTGTGTGTGTATTACTACTACACACAAATTAAACAAACAACTATACTAATTAAGGACCAAACAGTCAAACAGTGAATTAGATAATTGGTGAATTTCTTGTTGTATCGAGATTGGAAGAATATTATTAAGCCAGACTATTCGATTTGGGAGGAAGGCATCGACGCGTGGACTTCCTTAAGTATCCCACCACAATACTACGGATTCACACAAATTCAAGGCCACCACAGATTGTTGGCGGCTGCTATGATGGTAGAGAAGTCTTACAAATATACTAAAAGAGCCGAATTACTGAGAAAGAGACGCAGGACCTATCAACTTCATTTGAGAAATTGTTCTGGAATGAAGAGAAAGGATACTTCGTCCAAGTCATTTGGCAGGACAACAAAAGCAGAAAGTGATCGTCGACACATTGACTGCAACTATGGCGTTCAGTGACATTGTAACTGATCAAATAAAGATAAAAAACACTTTTATAACATCAGAAAGTTCAACACCGAACTTGAACACGGCCTTGCAAGATATCCACAAGACTCATACTTTTATTTTTCAAAGTGGAATATTGGAAGAAAAGAAACTGGTGAAGCAAGCCCACTATGGGGAGAAGCTGTAGACCGAATCACTGGCGACCCGATTATGCCGTCAATACCTGATGTATATAAACACGCAGGTGTGCATGTCATGACAGCGCTTCAGAATCAACAACTCTTCCCACTCTTTAATTATAAGAAGTGGTAATTTGGTAGTTTCGTAATTATTGTTATACTATAACATGTGTGTTGATATAACATAATAATAGTATTGGTAAAGTAAACCAACTAATACAATATGGGAGGAGTCAACTGATACTCAATGACGATCATTGAAAATACTTTGCAAGTGTCAAAGATTTCAAAGTTTTTATGATGATGGTCATTCGAAAATTCAATTTGTTGAGTGAAATGTACCAGTTTAATCGAGTACCTTTGACATCACTAAAGGAAAACAAGTTGTTCCCAAACACCAAGACTTACCATCTTTATTCAAAGAGTGATTTTGACACAAACTTTCCAAAAAGGTCATTTTTGATTTAATGAGTCACGAAGACGCATTGGTCTTCCACAGAACTAGAGTGCACAAATGTTGTGTTTAGTCGAGAAGATGTTAAACTTTTTAATGGTGAAATAACAACAAAAGAGGTGCGATCGTTGTCATCATCATGTTTCAATCCATCAACTGAACAACTACAATCTGTTTTTTAATGTTATCTCATATTTTTTGGATCATAAAAATTGGATTATTTCGGGAAGCCGTGCCAAAATCCATCTTAATTGTTTCGGTTTTTTTCACATTTTGCCTAATGCCCGATGTTTAGACACAAATAAAGCTGTTTTTTGTCCACCAGATAACGTTTGAGACTAGATAACGTTAAAAGACTGACTCTATAAACATTAAAATATTATATTATTAAGTTTTTAAAAATAAACATATTATTTTAATAGTATTTATACTATTTTTTCTTGTAAGTTGATATAATAAATTAACATATTATTGTTATAGTTTATTTTGTTAAAACCTAACTGTTAAAATATTGGAACTTTTTAATTCAAAATTTTAATGATTACTCCCAGATGTTTGTTCTATTATCTATTTATCATAACATTTATAATTGATGTAATTTACAATTCCATTGCTATCATTGTTGTAATTACTATTGTTAATAGACCAATTGGTGATTATCATTATATATTATATATCAATTTGATTTTTATTTCAATAAAAACATTGTGTTATTCACTGTATAACATATTCATCAGATAAAATAAGTTAAAATTAACAATTAAATAAATACTTGTCACTCTAATGACTCATTAACTTTATGTACAGTCTCTGAATCATTTGCTTTGTCTTTGACTATTGCATTGTCTAATGATAGTATTTGTCGTCTTTGAGTAGCTTGTCCTGTTTTGAGTATTATCTTATTTCTTTGATCATTACATTTCTTCTTTGAATGTGTTGTCATGTCTTTCATTATCGCCTTATGTCTTTGAACATTACACTCTTGGTGATATCATTGTATTATCATTATGAATTGATCTAGTCAAGTGTTATGGATATTGTAATTGAAATTGTATTGTACTTAATTATGGTTATTGTTACTTTTATGGTTAATAATATAATAATAATAATTAAATAAGTTATCATTTGAACTATAAGTTTATATTTAGGTTTTTTTAAATATAAATCATGTACTAAACAATTTAATTAATTATTAATACATTATTTCGATTTGTATTGTTTAAAAGTATAGTATTTATATTATATGTTATATAGTATTTTTTATAATTAACAAACATTTTTTACCTTTTGGGTTTGATTATAATTATTTAATATAGTTTTTAGAACAAATATTTACATAATAACGTTAAATATAAAAATGAAAATAACCCTTTTCAATTGTTTTTAGTTTTTAATAGCAGTTTTAATTATTAGTTATTGGCTTTTTGCTATATTTAAAAAAGAATAGGTTTATTTTATTATTTATTATATATAAAAATACAATTATTTAATAGATTATTATTATTTTATTATTTGTTGTTTGTAAATATCGGTTTGGTGTGTAAAAGGGTGCTGCATTTGTCACATTTTTGTGTTAATAAAAGCAAACACAGCAGTTATAAAATATAAACCGATATTTAAAATTACTCTAGAATTACATTAACATAGATTTACTACAACTCTTTGAGCCTGAGGATCCTTATAAATATTAATCAATAATAAAATTCATGCCACGCGTCTTGGCATTTAGATATATTATGATAAAATATAGTTTAAAATGATTTTAAAATGTCGAACTTTTTAATCCAGAATTTTAGGAAAATTCAAATCTTCGCTTTTCTTGCGATTTAATTAAATTATAATAAAATATAGATTAAATGGTGTCCCCCCTAAATCCGCATAATTTATGTACTACTATATTAACTCTTCTATTTTATCAATTTTTTAAAGTTGTGTTGCTTTTACTAGTCAAACAAGCATAAATTATAAAAAAGCTTTCATTATTTTTGAGACACACAAAAGTGTAAATTTGCGAGAATAAACCTATTTGTAAAAATTGAGTATTAAAAACACAATCAAACTTGGGCATGATTTAAAGGTTTTATCCATAAATATATGACTTGTTGTTTTGAATATGTTAAGATTGTTTTTATTACCAAATAATATCATTTCATCGTTTTTTTAGATAGAAAAATAGATAAAAATAGAAATAAAAATAAAATAGAAACAACACATTTTTTCTATTTCATTGAATACAATAGACTCAATTGTTTGTTCATTCTTCGTTTCTTTAGCCCTTCTAACTTCTTTTCCACAAGTTGACAATCTTAAAAACAACCTTTAACACAGTTTTCAGAAACTATCCGTCCTGTACTTTTCATGGTATTTTCTTTACTTTTCAATGCCATCTTTATTTTGTATCTACACAAATCATTGTAATAATCATTGGATTCGTGTAGATGTGAACAATTTTTGGTTTTTCCAATAAATTCAAAAGAAGTCATTCCCTTATTTTCACAAAATACTTCAATTCTTTTGGAACAGCATTTGTATGTTCATTTGAATACTTTTCTGTTTTTATCTATTGGAGAAAATTAAAATTTTTCAACGTAAGGAAGTTTGTTTCCTTTATGTGAAACAAAAGTTGTAAAATGTGGTTTGTGATCACTATAATTAGCCGTTTAAATTTTGTTTAAAAATAATTGTGTTAAGTTTTTTTAAATACAATTTGAATTTTTATGTAAATTATGTTGAACTTTTTTGTAAAAAGAAGGGGGGTTGTCTAAGGGCGAGTTTCCAAAGGCGAGTTGTACGGTAATCATTCACCTTTAATAAGAGAAGGTGAATGATATTTTTTTGTTCAAAATATACCATTTGACAACTTACACAACGATCATTATCAAAATTCATAATAATACAATTACCAATTGAATAATTTTGTTGAGCACGTGTTTGTTGTTCGTAATTGTAAAACGTGTTATCTTGACATAAATTACATTTACCGTTTAATGTAGTTACTTTACAATTATTTGTATTATTCTCACATATTTCATTTTCCGAAATTGAAAGAAAAACGTCATTACAACCAGTACAATACGTCCCTTTACTGTTTGTGCAATTGGTTTCATCGATTTGAAGACACTTTCCATCTGAAACAATGACACCTCCTTCACAGAAAATACAATTATCTTTTGTACAAAATTTACACAAATTTCCATGAAAATCAGAACATAAATTGCACTTATTATTATCAAGAAAGTACGATGGAAGACAAACAATTGCTTCTTTCATATTTGTTAAAAGAATTCCAATCGGCATTACACACTCCCCATTAACATCAAAAACACGATTTGGCTCACAAATAATACACACACTATTTCGACAAAAAACACAACCTTCTTTACATGGCAAACAAGTTTGATTTTCGTTTGAATAATGTTTAGAACATTTCCAAATTCTACTTTTATAATCGACAATCTCTTTAGCAACTTCAACACAAATACCATTTTTTACTTCATACATTTCTTGATATAAAATGCATTGGTCATCAATACATCTAAGACAATAAGTTGAACATAAAATACATTTTTCTTTAAATGCTTGGTAAGACAATTTACATGTTTCGCAATATCTTGTTGGAATATTACCATCAGTAATACAATTGACGTCAAAAGGAAGACACGATTTGTTTTGTAAAATACTAAACGGTTTACATAAAATACATTCTTTAATTCCGGTTTCTGAAATAAAAAACGAATTGCACAATGATAATAAATTTGATTTAACATAAATCTTATTGAACTGTGCATCGTACTTATGTAACTCGAACCCCATTTTGTTTCCCAACAAAAGTTTGTTGTTATTTCCTTTAATTGTAATAGTGTTACTATATAACGAGGTATCATCAATATACAAAATGTTATCAATGGGATCATCAAAGTTTGATTCACCTTTAATAGGAGAAGTCATCTGCACAATTTCTTTTTGTTGAACAATCGTTCCATTGCATTGATAATTATAAATAAACATTTTAGTTTGAACCAGTTGGGTTACCAAATTATTATTTAAAGGGCAATGAAGAACGTTTTTGTGGCTCGAAAATAATGAAAAATCACTTTGATCCAATTCGCATATTATTTCTGTTGCAAGTGGATAGTGTTTAAAACATATTCTATACAATTTTGATCCTTTTAAGATTTTCGAATAATGTTAAATCAAATGCAACAATTGACGACAACACTTTGTTGCAGAAAAACATTGTTGAAATCGGTTGGTCAACACTCAATGTTATTTTACTGTTTAAAGGCCTTACATTTCCACCCTTTAACACCAAGATTGTTCCATTGGTGTTTAATCGATTAAAGACATTTCGATAAATAATTTCTACAATTATTAAAACACCATGATTTTCAACTATATATCTGGTATTTAAATAAACATTCAATATTTCACATTTTATTGTTGTTTCAATTTTAATTGTTAAATTGACACTACAAAAAGAAAACTCGACTTGTGTTGATATATAATTTGGATTAGCTGTAATACTTCCACCATTTGAATATATCAAACTTTCCCATATATCTCTTTCAAATCGTGGTATATAAGTATAATTGTTGATGTTAAGTTTGAGTTGAATTGAATTGGTGTCGTCAAGACAATTATTAGCATTTTGGTTCAAAAAGGTAAATTCAGTTGACGAACTCGTTGTTCGATAATCACAAACACACATATCAATATCACAATCTTTTGTAAATACTCTTTCAACACAAATTTCCAATTGTTCAGATATCAGCAGACCGTTGTGAACAACAAACAATATTTTGCTTTTAAACTCTGGTTTCAAATTAACTTGATTTATTTCAACATTTGAGTCAAACCATCAACCCACATTTAATATAGAAATTGTCAAATTGTTTATTTTGGTATTTACAAAAATACTAAAAGAACTTTTCATATCAAATTTTTCTAATTTTAAAACGTGATTATTTGAACCTGTTATCCACATCATCGGATTATTAGAATAAATTGTGTACCATTCATATATATCCAAATTCCATGACGTATAGTTCGAAAGATTCAAATTAAACATCGAAGAATTGTAAACACAATCAGAAAAATTAAAAATAGTACTATTACTACAGTTGGGCCATTAAACCTTAGCCCAGGAAATTAACCTTAGCCCAAAGAAAAACTAATTTTTTTCTATTGTTATATTAAAATAATAAACTATACCTAAATAAAAGTCAATTTTCTAAAATATTTGTTTTTAGTAAAAACCAGTGTTTTTAAAGAAAAATATTGTAATTTCTTTGGGATAAAGTACATTTTCTGGGCTAAGGTTCATTTTCCCTACTGTAATTATTGGTATGTTATTTAAAATAATACATTCACAGTTTGTTTTTTAAAATGCAGTTTAGAAAATGCATATTGCCCATAATGATTTTGATTGCACAAAACAACAATTTGTAATCCACTTCCATCTATTATTATTATTGTAGAATTCACTACACTTGTAAAGGCGTATAAATATTCATTCATATTTCGAATCAAAGCTGGGTCTTTAAATTGTAACGTTAATGTTAGTGGTACAATTCCATCAATAAAAAGAAAAGTTGTTTTAAATAATAATGGATAAAATTAACTTGTTGTAAAATCAAAAAAAAACTTTAAATTTTATAATAATGATTATATGTTTAAAATAAAATATTTATTTCATTGATGTTTGAATTAATGTTAATAATAATTTAAATTTATTAATTGGAATAAAACAATAAAGACTAGATTATATAAATAAAAGTTGAAAATTGTTAAACTTTTGTTTACATTAAGATAAATGTAAATAATAAACAAAATAATAAAACAAATAAATAGTTTTCTATTTAATTTAATTTGAACAATTAGTTTGGATGTTTATTTGAAAGAAATTTAGTTCAATTATACAACATTGTATACATTTTCAAGCTGTAGTTATCAGTTATTTTTTTGAAAATGATAAACAATGAATTTAACTAACACTGTTTTTAAAAAGAATTCAATAAATATGTGTCAAAGTGGTTTTTTGTTTATCTCGTTTAAAACAATTCAAATGTTTGTAACACAAACACGTATGTTTTATAAAAAAATGTTAAACATAATTAATACAATAAAACCTCTCATTAGTAGATTAAATGGGAAAATATTACTGTTCAATTGTAGTTATGAAATTATTTTTTACCTTCTTTTCCATTAATAAATGTTTTTAATTTGATTGGTTGAAAAGTCTATTGATAAGGGGATTCTCTTAATCGGGACACTAATAAGTGTTTTAACTGTGGTCAATAATTGGACTATTTTTTTGTTTTTTAAAATATAAATTCAATTTAAATAAATAATAACAAAAAATAAACAAAAAATGCACTAACCGGGACTCGAACCCGGATCTCCACCTTGGGAGGGTGAAATTCTGCCCTTAGACCATTAGTGCTTTACATTTTTAAAAACTAAATTTATAGTTTAATATTTTTGAAATTAACATTGTTCGAATTTTATTGTTTTTATTATAGAATAATAGTATTTGAAATAAAAGATACTTTTTGAAAAAAAACAAAATAAACTGTTTTGTGAATAAAATACAGTCAAAAGCGTCTATTTGTCGTAAAAGAATAAATTTTGATGAATTTTTTTTAATAATGAAATTTATGTTTTATAAAAAATAGTTTTCGATTCAACCAAAATTACAGATTCGAAAACATAACATTTAATTGTCGTACACCAAAATGATTGGCCAGTTGTGCGACAATTAAGCAAGTTTAAAATTTAAGATAATACAAAAGTCTATAATAAAAGCATAATCAAATTTTAAATATCAAAAAGACAATTTGCTTGTATTTTTTATTTTAACAATATTTTATTATATTAAAATATATTATATAATCAAAACTCTAAAAATCAAAACAAGAAACCACATTTAAAGCACTAATAAATATTGTTAAACACATCAAAACATTGAATGTTTGTTATCTTACAGAATAAATGTTGAAACAATCACTTAGTATGATTTTTTGATACTGGATGCCGATTCAAGTGATAAGTCAACATACATCATATGACATTAACCTTGTAAATCTCCCATAAAATCGAGCCTGCCTCGAAAATATATATACTGACCAGATAACAAAAATATACACTTTCAAAATGTCATGCAGTATTATTACATAATACTGCATGACATTTTGAAAGTTTATACATGACCACAATTCTAAATTTCATTGTTTCGATTAACAATATTAGGATGTTTCTATAACAAAGTGGAAAATAAAGATACAATTAAGCTCCAAAATCAATATAGCAGATCACAATACAATTAATGTGTTGAACCAACGTGTGTAAATGGATTTAATAACTGGACTAACTTATCTTTCGAAAAAACAAAACAGAAAAAAACAGAGATGGGAAGAAAAGAAAAAACACAAAACTATAATCGATTCCATATAAGTGTTATTATATTTTATCGTTTATAAATTATAAATATATAATAAAAACTTTTAAATAAATTATTTTAAAATTTTTGAATTGTTTTTTATTTTTTTCCAAAAACAAATTTTTTATATTTGATTTTGTTTCTTCTATTATCAAAACTACTAATTATTAAAACCAAATAACACTCTTGTGCAACAAATTCCATCAATAGTAGAGTGAAAAGTTTTTTATTGTTAAATTCGAACAAAATAAATATAACTGAGACGTGTATTTAATATTTCATTTTACAAACAGGATATATATTAAATAATTTTATAAAACAATTCTAATGAAACAAAATATTAAATTTACAAGTCTATTGCAGCACTTATATTTTTGTTTACAAATAATTAATTTTTACTGCCAAGTTTTGTTACTACTTTTTGATGATATTAACTTCGGTTTTAAAAACACTCAATTCGATAATAATATACATACACGGTGTTTAGTACTACCGCATTGTTTGTGATTCGTTAATTTACAGTATTTTCGATTGGGTATGTTTTACTCCCACCATTTTTGTAAATGATACTTTTTGTGACTGTGAATGCACTTTAAATACATGAAATATTTGTCAAAAAATACGACATTTTACATACTGGTATAAAAAAGTGTTTTATTTTCAATTGTACTATTTAAAAGTTAATTGTTATGCTTGCCATTTAAACAACTTTGTTTATTCTGTTAACAGCAAAACGATATTAAAAGTAGTTTTAATGAATACAAATGGTCTTGTTAAAATATGTTTGTTTTTGCCATGATAATTATGTTTAATACTTTCAACTGTCTTTTCGTAACATTATAGTATATATGCTCTATATGTTACGGAGTAATAAATATAATAATGATACTTATTATAGGATCATATTTTAATATAAAAACACGAGTCTGTTTAATAAACCATTTTTGTTTTCATTTGTCGGTCTTGCATTTTTGTGTTTGTAGCTAATGAAAATATCTTGATGGATATCTTTGAATAAATAGAATATAAAAATTACACTCCCTTTATAATACGAATAATCTTAATATCACCAAAAATGTACTCATTTAAAAATAATTGCATTTTATTTATTGATAAACATTTTTACAATTTCAACTTTTAATGAAATGAAAATTCTAAAACAATAAGTCACAAAGACTGAATTAATTCACAAATGGATTTATTTCTTCTCCTCCTTCTTTTCAGTGGCAGCAGCCTTTGGTGCGGCTTCCTTTGGTGCAGCAGCAGCTCCCTTTTTTCCTCCCTTCTTTGGCATGTGTATTTAACGAGTGATTACAAAGATGCATTCTTCCCTTTTATAGAAGTAATCATTATTGTGGAGGTACAACAGCTTGTATTTTGTCCAATATTCGGGAATATCAAATGCCACATCACCGTGTTATTTTTGGTGTGCTATTTATAACAATGATGTGGCACAATGTGGTGATGAATAAAGGTGAAAAATTGAGTGATCTGCTGAGTTTCTATTTCTGTGCTTAATTTTCAACATTTTATACTACAATAAACCAAAAATGCGCAATAAAATGGGATATTTTGAGTTATGGCATATCAATTGTTGTGTGATGTCTATTTTTGATTGAAGTTT